TGCCCTATATGTTTTTTCTGTTGTTAATTTATAGGACCTTTCAAATGATACAGATTCTGGTCATTACTTTTAAAAATGTGAAACGTAGAGAAAACTATACAGCATAGAACTTGGCATACAAGCATTGTACACAGGATTTGGTGAATAAGCCAGTGTTCTTGGAACACTATATACATATGGAGCGTCATTCCTAATTTGTGTAACTGTTTACACAGCTCATTCTCTTTAAAGCAAGCTAGCTTTGGTTGGAGAATAAATTCTTTCAGATTTCAATAATCGTGTCCTTGTGAACCCTAACAGGGCAGGTACTGTTAGCTTGCTTTGAGTATTTGGCACTGTCTCCAGGAATAGTACAAATATGCTACCAAGAACTGGGTTACACTATTACTAATAGGAACAGTGTGTCCATGACTGTGTGATGAATTTAGCTTTTCTTCTAGCTAGAAACTAAGTTGTGAACAAACTTGGCAAGATGCAGAGGGCATGGTAGACAGTTCTTTAAAAGTTTGTTTTAAAATCTCCTGTTAATTAAGAAAAACTAGGTTAACATCTGAGATGGTAGGATGTTGTTTAAATCAGTGTTTAGTAGATTGACAATCACTTTCTTTTCCTTATCACCAGAGGAAATTCGATATTTGACCAATTCTTTTCTACTGGTAAAAAGAGAACACGACTGGTCAGGCCTCCCTTAGATATTTTGCTAGGTGCCACAAAGGGTTTTGCCCCACCTCACCTATGGAAGTTGTCCTACTGCTTCTTGAGTTGTAATAGGGGTTGCAGAATACTGATTTCTATTTGGGTCTGTTTAAAAAAAAGGGGGGGGGACAAAATGATGAAGGTTGAAAACACAAGGACCATGCTTAGTTAGTGACTGGAGTGACTCAGAGCATGGTTGAGGGTATACACAGCAGTGCATGGCACTCCCTGTTGTCTCCAAACACCATCCATCTCTGCCTGAGTAAATGTCTTTGTGCATTCTCCCAGAAGACCTGAAAAAGAAAGTGAAGGGCAGACCTAAAAATGTTTGCTTTGGTGTGTCCAGTCTAATTCCAGGAGTTGCTAAGCAACTTCTAAAACAGATCTCCTTGACTTGTCAAACTAAGCTGTGGGACTGCTTAGTGAGGTCCCTGCTGGAGGGCAGGGACAGCATCACCGACAGAGAGATTTCTGTAGACACACAGAATGATTTATGTAATGGAAAGCCACACTAACCCCCTAATTTAAACTGTAGTAAGCTTCAGACAAAAACAGTGTGGCTTTCTGGAATCAAACACTAGCTTGATTCAACTACTGCTGACTCTGAGCTTTCTTTGCACATGTTTATGTGTCTGTGTGCATGGGGGTAGGGATGGTTCTAAATCATGAAATATGAAAGATCTTCACTGAAGACTTTGAGCAGCAACCTTACCCTTACTTCTCTGGACACGCTTTCCTTTCTGGTGCCTTGTTCCTCTTTTCTTCCTTTTCCTTTCATGGTTCTCAGCGTCCTTCTTTCGTTAACACATTCCTCAGACAGACCTGTATTAGGTACTTGAAGAGTCAGAAATTACACGATGAGTAGGTAGTACTGAAAACAGCACAGAAAGAACAGTGGGTTCTTTAACATTTCTTTGAGGTAGGGACTCACTGCCCACTTAATTCAGGATATCCAGGCATCAACCTAAGGGATAAATAAGTCTTTCTGCTGTGAGTTGTTAGTTGTGCCCAAGAACCTTTATGAACAAAGCTTTGGAATTTTACTGCTAAATGTGAGTTGTATTTTGCACTTGATATCTGAAAAATATTCAGGATTGCATTTCAGATTTAAACTCAGGTTCTTAGGATGCCAATCTTGGGGAGATGAAAATTAAAGCCAGAATTTTATTTAATATACCTTTTAGCAGAAGAACAGTAGCCTAAGTGTTAAAATCAGTTTGAGATTGGGATATTGCATCAATATATGAATTTTCCACTCCAAGTTTTATCTGGGTAATATTTTTTTGTGTTTGAAATAAAATATCCAAATAATGACAACAAATCCCAGTCATGTGTCTTGTTTGAATTTTTGCTATTGTAGTAAGATCCATGCCTACTTGGTAGCATGATTCAGAATATTTAAAAGAGAAATTAAGTAAAGCATCATAATTAGAAATACAGAGGTGAACATAGTCTAATTGAGGTTGGAAGAGTTATGTGTTCAGGTCCATGTGTTATTTTCCCAACCATTTATGTATATTTTATAAACTTTCATATAAATGGTGCTTCATAATTTAAGTAGAAATTGAAAAATAGGCCTGTCTTGCCACATGAAGAAAAACATTTATTTATATGTATTTTTAAGAAAATGTATTGAAAACATTAGCTAGCTTAGAATGTTTCTGAGCTAATTTACTTAAAATGAAGGTCTGATGCAAAGGTTTTCAGTTTAATTGATTTCCATGCCCTTGGGAACCCTTTGTAAATAGTAAATTCTTGCTGGGAAAGTGAGAAGTAACTGCTAAGTGAAAATCTTTGGCTGTTATGTAATGATTGGAAATTAAGAGACTTGCCCTCATCCGATAAATCTTTTGAATAAGTATAATGTGCCAAAGAAATTCTCCTAACACAATAATAGGCAGTTTGAAGTCATTGTTTCACAGTGGCATTCCTTTTTTACTGACTAGTTGATTTCAACAGCTGAGTTGAAAAGGATTCTATACCTTTGTTTTAACAGGGTGAGAAATTGTTTTCCTAGTAGTGTGACACTTAAAATTTTCCTGCAAGCATTATTATCAGTTTCTTTGAATAACTGATCAAATGATGTTCACAGCAATAAAATTAAAACGTCCTTCAAGAAACGGCAGCCAACTGTGTCATGAGCCTAGTGTGTATTGTTGCCTTTGCCTGGACCAAATGCTGCTGGGGAAGCAACCTAGGTGGGGTGTGTGTTCTTTGCCTCCTCCTGCAGTCCTTTTCCTTGAGGTAGCTCAAGCACTCCCGGAGTGCTCATACGATGGTTCCTTCCATCTTTCCTGTCATCAGCCCTTGTTTCGTCATGTATATGAATAGCTGATGAAATCTACTCAGTGACATTTCCTTAGCAGGAGGATTTACATTCTCCCACATGAGGAAATAACTTAGAGTGACTGGTAATTGAGGCAGCATGGAGAACAGTGCTTTAGGTCTTTCTCAGTGTTTACACCAAGCAAAATAGCGTATCAGTGTGTAGCTGGCACTTAATATAGAATACTGCAGAGTTGGAGAAATAAGAGGCACAGGTTAGTGTTTTCTGGAATGAGCTACCTCTAGCAAGCTAATAATTAATAGCAAGAATTATGTGGTCAGAAATCTATCATACATATGAAAGGTCTTAGAGGTTCATGGAAGAAGTGTAATATGGAAAAATTGTGTGTACATTTAAAAAACATTTTCTTCTAAAATGAAATTACTTTTTGATTCTATTTTGTATGAAGTTTTATAAGTACCATTAGATAGTTTTTCTGCCTAGGCAAGAAGAGATTTCTGTAGGGGTGGGCAGTTTTCACAGTAGTAAGTTGCTGCTTGGGATACCCACATCCTATTTGAAACTCCGGGTTTGAGTCCCAACTACTGTACTTCCTACCCAGCTTTCTGGAAATGTGTTCCCTGGAAAGCCCTAGGTGATAGTTCAAGTGCCTGGGCCCCTGCCACCCTTATGAGAGATTGATTTCTGGGTTCTTGACATCACCCTGGCCAGAATGTCTGTGCCTTGTGTGGGCATTTGGGGAGTAAACCTGTGGACGGATGATACCTCTCCATCTGGCTCTCTCTCAAATAAAAATATGAAAATATGCTTTAAAAAAGAGATTTTTGCCTCTACAGCCCCATTATCACTGGAGTGATTGTGAGCCTGTTAAATCCATTCCCAATCAGAAATACCACCCATCTCATACACATTGACACATACCTACAGATAACAGAACAAATAATGGCTTTCCCAAAGTGCCTAGAGGGTAGTGTGCTTTTTTTCAGTCCATTAATATGGAACTGAAGAGACCATTTGAGCACCTCCTCCATTAAAGCAAAATATCAACAAAAATGTCGTATGAATGAATAGAAAATATACTGTGATCTTTCTTAAAACTTTTTTTCTTGGCATTTTCAGGCTTTTTTTGACCTGCTGCTTTGAACAAAAGAATTTAAGTCTCTGCTATGTGGGAGTGGCACTGTTTCTGTTCCTTAAGGGAGGAGATGACACTGGGCTCTCTGCTCAGAGCAGTAGATGAAGACGGGAATGAGGGACTGAGTTGGACTTTACTCAGTCCCAGCTCTTGTTGTCTTCCTCCTTCTCAAGGCTTTTCTTGAATCAATTAGAACACTTAACTTTCCAGGAAAGGCTTTTTACAATGACATCTGTAAGTTAAATTCTTGAAGGTATCTGTCCTTGATTTTTCCTAGAAGTGTGACAGCTTGTGCCACCTTCTTCCAAATGGCAGATTTAGGTTTGAATGGAAGAAAATGGCAGGCAGTAAATAGTTTGGCTTTTGCCTCTTGTGGTAGAAGAAATCATGTATGATTTTATGTATATAAGGATACTTCAAAAAGTTTATGGAAAGTGAAATTAAAAGATGTTTATTTTGGTGCAAAAAAATTAATAGTTTTTTCACAGTGTACATTTCCATGAGTGTTTTGAATTACTGTCACATTCTTCTCTAGCACTGCAGGAGACACATAGTGTACCTGGTAAGTTTTGTGCATCTGGCTTGCTATATTGATATAAAATGGAAATTCCAAGTTTTTTAAGATACTACCAGAGATTTAGATGTTGTCACCAGCCAGACTAAATATGTAGAGACTTTTTCTTATAGTCCATTATGATGTAAATGAAGCACTGAACCTGTGTGTGCAGTTGTTTTGAATCAAAAAAATGCCATTAAAAGGAGTAGGTTTAAAACTTTGCACAAAAAAAAAACCTCTTTAAGGAAGTATAGTGATAACCCAGGGACTAATTATTGTCTCACAAAGGTGTTTGAATCACTCCTATAATTTTACTTTTCTTTCAGATTCAGCCCTATGAAAAGATAAAAGCTAGAGGCTTGCCTGATAATATATCTTCTGTGTTGAACAAATTGGTGGTGGTGAAACTCAATGGTGGCTTGGGAACCAGCATGGGCTGTAAAGGCCCTAAAAGTTTGATTGGAGTGAGGAATGAGAATACCTTTTTGGATCTGACTGTTCAGCAAATTGAAGTGAGTAACATTTAGTCTTTTTCACTGAGATACTAAAATAGCTTTTAGATTATCATTAATGTTGTAAAATGTAAGGGAAATCAACTTCAGTTAGTCAAAGAGGTTGCTATCCTTAGTCTTGTTATTAGTGTTAAAAATTTTTTTAGTGTTCCAAAGGCAAGTTCTTAGGGTATTGGAAAAGTTTTATATATCTTGCATAGCATTTGTAGTTCATGAAATCTCGTCTATTGAGATTCTCTGATCTCTCTGCTCTCCAACCAATTTCTTTTAGTGACAGCTTTTATCACAGATGGGATGAGCTTTATTAATCCCCTTTAGGAAGCTGAGGAGGATGTCCCTGGGTGCCACGGATGCCGGGAACTTGTTTCGGCTTCTCTCTTACAACAAAATTACTAATTAGCTCTTCTGAGGTAATGATGCTTTTTCATCATCCCTGTTGCCTGGAATGGTGCTGGCCATGACAGTAGGAAACCAGCAGTAGCAGTGGCAGTGGCTAGCATTTATCCAGCATGTTTTGTATGCCAAGAATTATTCTAATCTCTTTACTTGAATTGTCCCATTTGCTGCTCTCAGCAGTTCTCTAAGGCAAGGACTATTGTCGTTCCCATTTCACCTCATTTTAGATGAGGAAACCAAGGTGCAGGGAAGTTAAATTTTTTAGCCAACGTGCCCTAGCTGGCAGTAAATGCAAAGTTACACTTTGAACACAAAACAGCCTGACTTCTAAGATCCAGTTTTCTTCCCACTTTGTGTGGCCTCTTGGCTCATCTGAGAGAATGAAAAGACTTCACTTTGTATGTGATTCACCCTGATATATTATTCCTGACACAGGGAGCCAGAACTTTGTAGTTGTACTTTTATCCCCATAGAACCCTGCCCAGAGACTAAATAATCAATTGGTCCTTATTTATCCAGTAGAAGGCAGGAGAAGACTGGATACACAGTTGTAGAGTTTGACTACCTAGGGATATGGGACTGGAGAGCAGGAGAACAGGTGTCTTGCCTGTCACTAACCTAACAAACTGGTCCTCATTTTAGTCATTTGTCACATGCACATAGTGGTTTCTATCTCAAAGACCTAGGCTTTAGTGAGCAGCAAATGGTGAACTGTTAACAAAATAGGTTAGTGCAACGCTGTTAGTTATGTCAAATCTATATATTTGGCAACATATAGGTGATGTGTTAGATGTTTTATGATCAACAGTAAGATTTAATTTTATATATTTAAGTATAGTAAGAATAATCCTAGGTAATCAATTGTCATTTTCCTCCCTAGCATTTGAACAAAACCTACAATACAGATGTTCCTCTTGTTTTAATGAACTCCTTTAACACGGATGAAGATACAAAAAAAATACTACAGAAGTATAATCATTGTCGTGTGAAAATCTACACTTTTAATCAAAGCAGGTACAAGAAGTTGAAGTCTTACTCCTGGGAAAGGACTGCTCTACCTTATTAAAACAGCAATCTCAGGATGAACACATGCCATATTAATGCCAAGAAATGTTTGATGCCTTTAAAAGCACGTGTGAATAGATATGTGGTTGTTAAAATCACTCTGAATATACATTTCCAATTCTTAGAATCTACTTGAGACTCTGTCTTATGTCCAGAATATTTGAGGATAGCTTCGGTAGGTCTTTACAATTTGAGGGTGTATTTGTTGTCAAGGTAGGTCTATGACAATCTTTCTGGGCCTAGCATGATTGCCTAGTGGCTAAATCCTTTCCTTGCACGCACCAGGATCCCACATGGGTGCTGATTTGTGTCATGGCTTCTCCACTTGCCATCCAGCTCCCTGCTTGTGGCCTGGGAGCAGCAGATGTTGGCCCAAAGCCTTGGGACCCTGCACCCGCATGGGAGACCTGGAATTGGTTCCTGGCTCCTGGCTTTGGATCGGCTCAGCTCCAGCCGTTGTGGCCACAGTGAATGGAACATCTTTCTGTCTCTCCTCCTCTCTGTAAATCTACTTTTCTGATAAAAATAAATAAATCTTCAGAAAAAAAAAAAAGAAACCCTTTCTATATTCTACAGTATTAATAACCTTACCTATAGAAAGGGATTTCACCAATATCCTGAATAGGCTTGGAGGCAATTTAATGAATACTGGAGAAAATTTACTTTAGAGAGGAAGTAAAGAGAAAATCAAGTGGTGAAACGTGAGAAGTCCCAAGCAGCTCGTTTATGTACGGGCACACTAGCCTGGGGGAACACACAAGGAGGGGCATTTCTAAAGTTGCGCCATTATTTTTACATGGTTTTTGGAATTATGTTTCCTCTGAGCAGTTGCTTACATCACAGATGCTTTGCCTTCAGGTCTTCAGTCAGTTTTAATGCTGTCTCCACTGTTTTCTTCTTCCTCTGTTACCAGCCCTTCCTCTTCTCACTAATGGTGGGAAGCAGATAGCCTCGAATGCTAACCTGATTTTCTGGGAAAGAAATAGAAATATCAATTTGTAAGAATGAGCAGTTTTTCCCAGTTATGTTTTCAGGGGCAAGAACAATACCAAAACCAAATACTTCAGGGAAAATATACTTAATACACTTTTCTTTTTGGAATGTTATAAAATATATTAAAAATCTTAAAGGATACTGTCCCATCTGATTGATTGTAATTTTTAGACAACACAGATGAGAGATTTTTTTACATGAATATTGATAAACTTTGAAAAGAAGGAAGACTTTATTTAACTTTAATGCATCATTTTACTTAAAGGTCCAGAATGTGCTACAGAGTCAATATTTAAAAAAAAAAACTTTTCTTTTTTTTTAATAGGTACCCAAGGATTAATAAAGAATCTTTACTTCCTGTAGCAAAGGATGTGTCTTATTCAGGGGAAAATACAGAAGCTTGGTACCCACCAGGTCATGGCGATATATATGCCAGTTTTTACAACTCTGGTTTGCTGGATACCTTTTTGGGAGAAGGCAAAGAGTATATTTTTGTGTCTAACATCGATAATCTGGGTGCCACCGTGGATCTTTATATTCTGAATCATCTAATGAACTCACCCAATGGAAAACGTTGTGAGTTTGTCATGGAAGTCACAAATAAAACACGTGCAGATGTAAAGGTAACTATGAAGGAGAAACAGTTTGGGGATTCTTGTTTTTACATCTCATGGGTCATGTAGTTAAAAACTTTATTTCAAAGCTTATAGTTAAACAGAATATATATACTTGACATCATTGTAACAGAGAAAGATGATATTCTGTGGAGTATCTTATGTTAATAATGTGTATCATAAACCCAGATTTAATATAACAATTATTTTTTTTCAATAATCTGTAATTTTAACAAAAGAGGTCCACATTTATTAATGGGATAAATTTGAAACATGTGAAAACATCTTCATTAAGTTTGTACAACTCTTTTGTTTGCTGTTCTTCTACTTTGGTTCTTAATGGGTTTTTGGCCTGTTTAGTAAAAAATTACTACTTTGATTTCTTGAGAAAGAGAGCAAAAGAGGAAGAGTATATGTGGGTGGGGGAGAGAGACAGAATTTTATCACTGTAAAAACTCTTTAGTACCTGCAAAAAGAGAGAAATGTCATTTTGGTGCAAAGCACAGTTTTTTTTTTAACATTCTATATTTAGTCATGATACTTGGATTTTAATGAAGTGGAATACAAGATTTTACTATTAACCCACAGTTAAGAAAAATGAGCAGTGTGTGGATATTAAGTAGCCAATTGCCGACGTGGATTTTAATGAGTTTTAGACAAGTCCTCCTCACATAATGAGCAAGTATCGCCATCTTCTGATAGTTAGATGGCTAGTAACTGTAAGAACATCTTTAGCCTGAGACTGAGTGCTCAGTTCTCATCTATTTATTCATCTGTCTCCTCTCCTCCCCTTATCCTAACGCCAGTCACAGCAAGGCCTGAGGTGGCAGGGCTAGCGCTCTGATGTTGGGGATGGTTTGAAAATGAAACCAAATTATTTCTGTAGCAAAAATATTCCTGTAATAGATTTTAGGAAAGTGAGGAGGACTCTGATAATACTATTTCAATGGCTTTAATTACAAATAAGACTAGTGCACAGTGTAAAATGATAGCTTCAATTATTTTCTTTCATTCTACATTTACATATTACATTGCAGTCTATTGTGAGAGATTCTGTCATCAGTGTCTTTTCTAAGAAGTTCATAGACTTTAACCAGTGTGATATGCTTATGACTGAGAGAGATGTAGAGGCATTCATGATTTTCTGCCTTTCTAGGGTGGGACACTCACTCAGTATGAAGGCAAACTGAGACTGGTGGAAATCGCTCAAGTGCCAAAAGCACATGTTGATGAGTTCAAGTCTGTATCAAAATTCAAAATATTTAATACCAACAACCTATGGATTTCTCTTGCAGCAGTTAAAAGACTGCAGGAGCAGAATGCCATTGACATGGAAATCATTGTGAATCCAAAGGTAAGCCCAAGTTGTAGCCTTTTGAGCTCTTTTTTTTCTAAAATCTTAAAAGGCAACACACAGATCCGCTGCCCTCCCCTTGTGGCCGGGCAGTTCCCGTAGGTATTCCTTTTGCCTGGTGACACTCTGGATTGCTATCGCTGTCCTCCAGGGTCTGCACTCATCCCTGTGGTGAGCCAAGGTCTGGGCTACCTGGTGTGACTATGCAAACCCAAGCACTGGGTTTATAGAGGACCTACTACTGATTTATTTGTTGGTCTGACAAACAGGCCATTTTTGGCTGTAGCACCACGCATAAGTCTTCTTAATCTTTTATTCTTCATGTTAAATGAGAAGGATTTTGCTGAACAGAGTTATGAGGCTTGATAAATATCAGTTCTCAAAATTTTATTTCCTTCCATGCATCTCTGGACACATTTCCCAAATATTAAACTATTCCACATGGAACTGAATTGTAAGTTCCACATGCCTAAAACTTGTGTTTTCCTCCTCTTCCCTCCCTCATTTCTTACAGACTTTGGATGGCGGCCTGAATGTCATTCAGTTAGAAACTGCAGTAGGAGCTGCCATTAAAAGTTTTGAGAATTCTCTAGGTATTAATGTCCCAAGGAGCCGTTTTCTACCAGTCAAAACCACATCCGATCTTTTGCTTGTGATGTCAAACCTCTACAGCCTTAATGCAGGCTCTTTGACGATGAGTGAAAAACGGGAATTTCCTACAGTGCCCTTGGTTAAATTAGGCAGTTCTTTTACAAAGGTAAGTAACTATAAAAATATGATATACATAGGTATTTGTTATGTCTTAAATGTTTAAGACATGCTAGGCACATGAATTGGAGACTAATTAGTTTCCATAGCTGACTTGTTCTATTCCTGTATTCTTGGTGTCATTTAAAGGAAATTGGCCTTAGCAGAAAAGATGAAATATAATTGTTACAGGAAATAGAAAAAGATATTAAATTGGAAGACATTTTCTCCTTTTTCAAGACAGAGTTTCAATTTTTTGAAATAGTTTGAGAAGAGCTGATGTTAAGTTCCTTTTCAAAATAGATTTTAGAAGTTGAGCTACCTGGTTGTGGGCTTTTATTTTTTGGGTTACCTTTAATCACGAATTGATTCTTGCAAGTTGTTAATTGGTTGGTTGAGAGTTAATATGAGTAAGTTATATGTCCATAAAAACATTTGTTTCTCAGATTTATTTTGCTGGCATAAAATAGTTCATAACAGTCTCAGTCTCTAATGATCTTCTGTATTTGTGGTTTGACTTGTAATATCTCATTTTCATGTCTCCAACAAAATAGTTGATTTTGTTGCTTTTCAAAAATCAAATGCTTCATTTCATTGAGAATTTTGTTCTCTGTTTTGTTTCTGCTCTGATCTTTGTAATATCTTTCCTTCTACTTATCTTGAGTTCGCTTTATTATTGCTTTTCCAATTTCTTGAGATCCTTCATTGGGTTATTTACTAAAGATTTTATTTCTGAAGGAAGTTTATTGCTATAAGTGTCCCTCTTAATATTGCATTTGCTGTATCTCCTAAGTTTTGGTATATTATGTTTCTACTTTTATTCATTTGATAAACTTTTTTTTTGAAATTTGCTTTTGGTTTCTATACCCATTGTTATTCAGAAGCATACATATGTCCAGTCTCTGTATGTCTGTGTATTTATTTGTTAAGGGTTTCTTTTGTTATTAACTTCTAGTTTAATCCTGTCATCAGAGAAAATATGATTTTACTTTAGAAAATTTCTTGAGACTGATTTTGTGGCATGACTTTATGGATTTATTTTAGGGTCTTACTGATAATATACGTATGCTTTAGCTACATACTGCCTTGCTTTTTCATACTTCCTATGTCCCTACAGTGATGGAGATCAGTTTGGCAGGTTGTTTTGAGTTTCAGTTGGATGCCACTGTGTAGTTTCCCTTTATCTTCCTGTGGTAGTAGCAGTGGGGGTGTGGAGTCTCAGTCCCAGCCAGAGTGCTTGGTTGCCCTGATGAGGTGAAGTTGCAGATGCTGGTTAAGGCAATAGGAGTGCTGGCCTGAGGGTCTCCAGGAGTCACCTGAGGCTTCCAGGTGGCAAGGGGCATGGCTGAGGTTGCAGACCGACAGAGGCACATGGTTCTCAGGACCTCCAACCCAGGTTTCCATGCAATGTCCTGCGGCTCGTCCACCTTTTCTTCCCCAGTCTCTCCGTGATGTGCTGCCCGGGTTGGGGGAGGGGTGGAAAGATCAGTTTCGTGGCCACCAGTAAGCTTTTAAGAGTTCAGTTAAACTGGTTACTGTGATTCCTATTTTTCTGTGAGCAGTTTTTGAAATAGTTTATGTTTTAAGGTTCAAGATTATCTACGAAGATTTGAAAGTATACCAGACATGCTTGAATTGGATCACCTCACAGTCTCAGGAGATGTGACATTTGGCAAGAATGTTTCATTAAAGGTATGCTATGGATATCCAGGTACCAGATATATGGAAAAGACACATTTTAAAAATGAATGGATCCAGACAGGAAATAGGTTACTGCAGTATTTAGTGTTGTCTTCCATTGATACTGTCTAGTTAAAATACAATCAAAATCATAGGAATTTTCTGGAATGTAGCATTCAAATGAAAACAAACATTAATTAGTAATTAAATTGATACTCTCCTGGGGTCTATCATATACAGACGTGGGGGTATAATGGAACATGCATCCCTGCATCCAGATGAAAGGTGGAATCCCAATGAAACTGTTGGACGTGTGTAGACAATGGGATGCTGGGCTGTCAGACATTGTCTGTACCAACAATGTCAGGATACACTTAAATAAGAGACTTGATAGAACTGAATTATGATTCCTTATGTGGGAAAAATATGACGGGGGGTGGAAGTTTGAGGGGGAATCCCAGCCTACACAAAATTGTACCTCACAACTCAAAATTCAAAATAAAAATATATTTAAAAAATAAATAAATGAACTGAAATCTTAAAAAAATAAATTGATACTCTACTGAAATGTGTTAGCATCATCTCACTAAAGATGACTATCTGAGTGACAGTATATTTATATATTAATATAGTCTATTCCTGTGGGGAAAAAACCTCTTATAAAGATGTCCATTTTACATTACTAGTATTATAATCATTCCAGCCTAGCATAATGAACAGGAAGGAAATAATAACAAAAGACACAACTGCTTTTCCTGATCAAGTGTTTTTTTAAAAACCATATTCAGATTTCTACTGTTTCTTCCATTAAAGCCACTTAGTGAAAAGACAAAACCAAAAATACATACATTAAACTTTATTTTTAATATTGCCTAAACTCTCATGTGAAAAATATGTGAACTGTTATTTTTTTAAAGATAAATGTCTATGTAAATATAAAACAATCACCTTTTAATTTCTTTATGGAAGTTGATAAATGCTGGTCTTGCATGTAGTTCTTCAAAAGGGCCACCCATACCAGGGTACTGGGTGTTTCTACTTTTTGGTGCAACCTCTGCTAATGAGGCAAGAAATTTAGGACTATTGTTGGGATTGTGGCAGAAGGACACATTACAATTTTCCTTTTGTTATTTTTAGCATTGAATATTGCTTATAAATACAGTTACTCCCATATAAAATTTCTACCTCTACTGATAATTGTAAGACAATCAAATGTATTTTAGTTTCAGTTGCAAGTATACTTCTGCTTTTTATTCTTTCTCTCCCTTAGGGAACGGTTATCATCATTGCAAATCATGGTGACAGAATTGACATCCCACCTGGAGCAGTATTAGAGAACAAGATTGTTTCCGGAAACCTTCGCATCTTGGACCACTGAATGAAAAATGTGTATACTTTATACTAATTATGGGCTAAATAGTTTCTTACAATGAAATATCCTCTAGGATTCTAAAATAGGCAGGTACAATACTATGTTACTGTACCCTACAACATAGATTTTTGAGGAGTTTTCTTCAGTATGCTGTTAGTCTAAGAAAAACACAGATGAAGCAATACTTTCCTTCTTTGAAGAGGGTCCTGAAAGTTAGTTAATCTTAAAGTGCAATATTGTTTAATCATAAAACTGGGGCAATCTCTGCTGGAAGTCCTTTGAAGCCTCAATGACAGTCACTTTGATTGCTTGTGATTTCAAAAATAAACTGGTGAAATATTACATGTGTACAGTCGTACTTTTTAATGTTAACTTTAGGAAATAGCAAAATAAAATGGTTTACTCTTCATAATTAACAGGTCTAGTTTTCTGTATTTCTAAGAATATTAATCACATCTTTATTTCCATGGGAACTGAACTCAAAGGTATTTAGCATCTTCCATCGAATTCTGAAGCTGGGATGCTTGCCAGGATTTCCACAGACTCCCCATTTAGCAAACAGAGTAGTGTTTATTTTCCCAGCTGAAAGGGTTGGGATGGGCAGAAGTAGGGCATTTGTTCATATCTTTGTATTCTAGTGTAGTGGGTTGGGGGAATCCAACTTGATTTTTAAAAAAAAGTTCTATTTTCTTAAAGTAAGCTTATCATTGAAAAATGTGCATCAACAACCTTTCAAATTAAGGTTAGCTGGTTGTTCAATTTATGCCTTTTCTCCAAGAGTCAGCATTCTTCGATGCTTCCATACTTGTTTTGAGTAGGCTGAAGTTCACTGTATACTACATCATTAAAAAAAAAAAAAACTTGTCTTTTAAATTTAATTTTTAACGGCTTTATTTTAGACAGTTTAAGAACCAATAACATACCTCTGAAATGATAAAGGAAAGAAAACAAAATTTCTTTTGAAGAAATCAAGGAAAACAAAATAGGACTATTTCATTTTACATAATCACCACAAGATTAGGCACTCTTACAGGGTTAGGCAAGATTCTTGGTGGGAGGTGAGGCACAGGCACTTTAATGTGCAGAGTGCTGTTGATTCTAATTTTGAAGACAGGTATTGGGAAAACCTTTAAGGAACTTATCACCTTCTATTTCTGTACCCAGCATAGCAGCCTGTGTTTTAAAAGTTCTACTTCCTGGTCTTTGTTCATATAAACATATAGTAACTTAAGAATCCAAAGGAGCCATACTTCATATGTTGTCCAAATGTCAAAATGAGAACTCATAAATAAGCAGATCATATGAATACATATTCTTACCTCTACTACAAATAAAGACAAACCCCCAAAACCTTTCATAGACTTTTATAAAAATACAGCTATTAGACTGTAGCCTTTTGTATGTTACTTCTAAAAAGTATTTAAATTAGTACTTGCATAAATAAATGCCAATATCTTGTCCTTTAATTATTACTTGTAATCAGCCTTTCCTATATTTAGCCTGTTCTGGAAGGCTTGACTCAGTTAACATACAGTGGTAATAGAAAGATTTAAATATACGACACATAAAGCCTGAATTTGACACTGGTCACTAAAACAAAAACTGAATTCCTAAATCCAAGCAATCAAAAGATGTTTATTTTTCATAGAAAGATCTGTAAAAAAATAATTTTTCAAACAGCTTTACTTCCATAGAGAAAACTTTCTACAGAGGATGAATAAGATTTTAATATTTTTAAATTGTACCATCATTAAATAAGGTGGGACACCATATGAATTTCATTGCACTGGAAGAAATGCAAAGCATTTTTTAATATAAAGTATACAGAGCATTCTAGTCATCTACAGCTGTGTTACAGCTATGTGTTCTTTTGGATTTGGTCCAAAGAAACCTGAGTCTGTTTCCAGAGAGAATGAAAAATGTTAGACACCTGATCACTTACTCCTCACAGAAGGATGCACAAAATGGCATTCCTTGGAGATCCCACTGGATCTAGTTTCCCAGCACTGATAGTCTCTTTTCCCCTTCCCCCACCGCAGTTCACATTGGGTTCCAGATTCAGCTCTTGCATCACAGGCATCCGGATTTTCTTCATAAACGTACATATCCCATGGTCAGATGAACTACCCACTTCTCCAGCATATCATCACCTCTTCTGTTCCCAGATCTCGGCCATATTTAGGTCCAAATCTTTAAGGCCTTTTAAGGCTTGAAGATTTCCAGTGTAAAAAGCTACATCTGCTGTGACCAACCTAAACATTGGAGAGAAAATTATTTTAAATCTCACAGTTTCTGTTCGAATAAAGTAACAATGCGCATGGAGTAAGAGTCATGTCCTAGCTGTTACAGTAGAATTCAGATTTCCTAGGGACCAAATAGCAACAGGACTTCTTTTTAGTTCTTCCCACTCCTATAAGTCACTAAGCGCTTTATTAAAAACCAGGCTTCCTGAGCGCACTCTAAGGAATTACCTGAAAGCTGAGACTGCATTTAAGTACTGCTGTCTACAAAACTAGATACTAATGATCAGTATTAACACAGTGAAATATAATTGCACTGCTGAATTCTGGACACATAAGAATGCCTTTACGTGAAATATACTTCTTTTAAGCATAAAACTTTTTGAATAAGCAGGAATTGTATACCCTTTGATTTATTAAGAAAATGATGCACGGCATTCATTAAATGCTAGTTTGATCTTACTTCTTTGTTCAACAGCAGGCTCACATTTGTTTCTTTCATTGTAGGTATTACAATTCTGAGGTTCAAACAAGAATTTTTTAGATGACAAAAAAAATTTAGTACATGCACTTTGGGATTTTAATTGTTTATGAAAGAGAAGAAAATTTTTTAAAAATTGTTTGCAGACCAAGAATGCCTTCTATCTCAGAAGTGGAATGCCTAAGGACTGTAATGTATAATTATTTCCCAATCTGTCAATCAAGTTATTAGGAATTTTAAATGGATGATGGAGCTATGAATAAGTAGCCAATTAAAATGGAATGAGTTTTATTTTCTTAGTAGGCTGCCTATAGAATGAGACTACTATGGAAAATGAATAGTTCTACTTCATATGCAATGTTTAGTTTGCAATCTTGTCTCAATATAACCCAATAACAGCAGCTAGATGATTTGGTTTGCAAATATCATATAATGAATCATATTATGAGCGAATATAGAAATTCAGTTTGAAGTTTAGACAAACGAATTACATATTTTTAGTTATGAGTGCATATTCTAAAGATAGTTTTCTAAGATTAAAATGCAAACCAGGTACAGGGCCATTTCAATACCACAGCCCACACAGGTATGTATGAAGAAAAGGAGGCTGCTGCTTCACCTTGCCACTGCCTGCAGCACCTCTCTGCTGACACTGCAGTGACTCACAAGGAAAGCATCATGTTAGAGGGCAATGAGCTGGATGCCTTCAGGACAAATCTTGGGGAGGCATTTGGTAGAGTGGTTAAGATGCCACTTGAGACACTGGCATTCCATGGAGAGTGCCTGGGTTCAACATCCAGCTCTGTTGCTAATTCCAGCTTCTTGGCTAATGCAGCAGGTGATCATCCAAGTACATGGGTCCCTGCTACTCATGTGACAGACTTGGGCTGAGTTCTTCGCTCCTGGCTTTGGCCTGGCTCACTCTTGGCTCCTGCAGGTGTTTGGAGGAATGAACCAACAAATAAAGACTGTATATGTACCTCTGTCTCTCTGCCTTTCAAATAAACACCAGGAAAATATTTCAATCTTTAGGTCTAGTCATAGTGATGTTTTAACTTAATGAATAGTAAAATGGTCTTCCTAAACAATTCACATTTGAGTTTCCCCCAACCCCCTCAATTTATCTGAGAGAGTTACAGAGAGAAATCTTCCGTCCACTGGCTCACTCCTGAAATGGCTGCAACAGCCAGGTCTGGGCCAAACCAAACCCAGGAGCTTCTTCTAGGTCTCCCACACAAGTGCACCAGCCCAACCTCTCGGGCTGTTCCTCTGCTGCTGGACCGAAAGTGGAGCAGCCAGGATTTGAACTGATGCCCATATGGGATGCTAACATAGCAGGAACTTAACATGCTACACCACAGCACTGACCCCACATTCCAGATTGTTGAGGAGATAATATGTTTGCGACTTGAATTTTAATAATTGACATACCACTCAATCATTTATAAATGGCCTGCCAAACTGCAGGAGAAAAGGGTAATGAGCAGCAGATATCTGGTATAGTGCTTATATGATACTACTTGGGAAACCTGTGTTCGAATCCCAGCTCTGCTTCCAGTTTACTTGGGTCAATGCAACCCACATGGAAATTTGAGTTCTGGGCTCCTGATGTGAAACCGGCCAAGCCCAGTTATTGTGGCTATTTGGGGCATGAACCAGTAAAGAGAAGACTTTTGTTTCTCTTTGCTTTTCAAATAAAAGGAGCTGTTTAAAGTGCTTTAGTTTGTAATATTTTATTCCACCTGAGTAATAGGTACTACTGTTACCACAGTTTTAAAAAGCAACTTGTTTGTGAAAGAGTGACAGAGATCTATTGGTTCATCCTCCTAAATGGCCACAACAACAAATTCTGGGATAGGCCAAAGCCAGAAGCCATGAATTCCCTTCTGTTCACCCATGTGTGGGCCCAAGGACATGGGTCATCTTTCATTGTCTTCCCAGGTGCATTAGCAGGAAGCTGAATCCAAAGTGGGACAGCACTTTGGTAGGGGATGCCGGTATAGCAAGTGGTGACTTAACCTGTTGAGCCACAACGCCAGTTTCCTGGGTCAGGAACATATGAATGGGTTCTCATTTATGACACTCACAGAGTTCAGTTTTTATACCTTTTAGCAAATAGGTACAACTAAGCCAAGAAAGAGCAAAAAGCCAAATTTGCCTCAATCTTCATATAAAGTACCAAAGTAGATCATACTTTAATTATTTCATTACTCAGACTTAGAATCAAGAAGAAAGTAAATGATTAGGTAACTCAGATTCATAACAATACATCTTCCTTTCAACTTAGTTACCAACAGACTTCCTACAACTAAATATTTTATGTCATTCCCAACAAGGGCAACACATTTTCTCAGATATCGTAATCTGACTTAAAATATACATCCTATGTATCTCATAGGGCACAGAATTGTCAATGTTCCATATGTAAAAAACAAGCAATTTCCAATTAGATGTATATTTTTGACAAGATATGGCTCATGAAGAAACACAGGAAACCCGGATTTAGTCTGTAAAAGAGCAAATCCAGCATAGTTTCAATATTTTATGGAACACATAAGTTTTAGATTTTTGCTATATACAAGCAAGCAAAATTGGTTTAAGTTCCCTTAATATCTAATCTG